GTATTGTATACTATTAATAATAATATCTCAATCCTTTTATAAAGTTTGTATGTTCGTGTATTTCTTATTTAGACATACAAAAACTACTGAACGGATTTAGAGGAAATGTGGTACGCATATAGTTTATGACCTAGATTTAGACACAGGATATTTTTTATACCGGGAAAACCTCAGGTTCCTGTGGTATTCTCAAAAAATTAAAATTTACGCGGACTTAATCGCGGGCGGCTACTAGTTGCTTTATTTAATGTAATATATATTTTGTTTATGTTAACTTGACTCATACAAGTTACTGCTGATATCATCGATTTAAAAATTTGCTGACACGAACCTCATTTGCAACATCGAATCGGTTAATGTGAATTGAATTTATTGTTCATTCATAGTTTTTACAAGAACTATACCAAATTTATTTGTTGGATAGTATGTGAAGTTGCTTTATCTTGTAGTGGGTCTAGATGTGAGTTTATCAAGGCAATATAAATATTAACATAAAATTGACCCTGTGGTAGAGAGATCATCATTAAGTTTGATAAGTTTTTAACATAACACATTTGTATTAAGTGGCTAAAATTCCACCCGCTCAATAAAGATGCCATAATATTTCAGTTTTCATCTAGTTTTCAGTCGGTTTGTTTGAACTATCGTAGGTCAATATTATTTTACAGTAAAACAAATTTAATCTTTACGACGAAAACCTTGCCAGAAGTTTTTGTTTGAGCAAACACAAGTCACTGTTTTGATTAATTGAATTTAAAACTTAATCAGTACAGTTCAGATTAGCTGATTATTTAAGATATTACCAAATTCTTCAATCAACTCATTAAAGACCAATTTATTTATATTTTGAAGGGACCCTAGACCTGAGTATTGGTTTAAATTTCAACTCGATATCTCCACGCGTTTCCGAAATTACAGACAGACAGACAGAGGGACAACAAAGTGATCCTTTAGGAGGTTTATGTGTCTCGGATTTGATTTAGATTTGTTTAAACACAGTTAGATACTTGAAAAATTACATTGCGTTGGTATTAATGTCTCAAAAGATTCAATTAAAAACTGCGAACTACCTACAATAATGTAAAGCATTTCTATAGGATCGCAGTAGCAATTGGTGACTTTTCCAGGCCAGGCCTAATGCGAATTGGTGAGTGCTTACGACTACATAAGCAGCAGCAGCCGCACCTCTAGATAATAATAATAATAATAACATTCTTTATTGTAATAAACCATACAAGACGCACAAGTGAATTAAAAACATGATAGACAGAACGTACACAATATATAATAGAGATAATACATTTTTGGCCACCCATCCGATATCCGATCATCGCGAACAAGCTAACTGCATGCGCCATCGAGCTCCTCGTGTAAATAGGGATGATGACTTAATTTTTTTCTTCCTCTATCAGGTAGATTATCAAAAGATATTTGACAAGTATTTTTTTCTTTATTCACATAATGAAAATATTACGGAGATATATTTATTTGAAATGACGCATGACGTCACCTCTTGTTACACAATTTTTACTTAGAAGTGACGTCACGGACTTTTAAACTTTACGCGCTTTATCTTTGTAATTTTTTGGTTGATTGGCAAAAGATAAAATGAGTTTCCATTATTTTTTGATTGTCTAAATGACGGACATATAAATTCGTTTAATTTACCCCTTCATCATGTCTCCCTCCTTCCCTATTGGTAAATTGGGTTCAGGCTGAGGAAGAGAGAATCTCCTGAGCAGCACAATTTACACCGTATCAGCCATCTTCACATCTGGACTCCATTTACACTCAACATCATTTTTATTATCAGTCTATTAATGTCCACACTGCTGGGGCACAGGCCATCCCACGGAGCACTGAGGAGTTCGAGGTTTAATAAAATTTTTGGTCACCTATCCTTTGACCGACCGAAAGTTAGAGCCATGTTATCCGTTCTAAATATTATTTCAAAGAAGAAATTATCTATATTTGATACGTATTATATAAAACAAAGCCTCAAAAAGTTGTACCTATTGACAAGTAACTCGAGCCAAACCAATGCGGTTACACAGCTCGTAGGTTTCTGAAACTCAACACCACTGCCTATACGGATTTCCTATATAAATAGTTACGTATTAGATTCGTCTATAATACTTACCTACATAGTATTCTTACAGTTATTCTAAGAAAAGAATACCTTGATTTTTTTATCAGTAAAGATTAGATTATATGTACAATGATTTAAAAGGTTATAAAGTAAAAACTCGAACAGCAGTGCCATTCTGTAAGAAAAAACTCACTTTTCACTGCGGAATAAGCGGAGTGATTTGAAATACGAATCTATGTATACATAGAAAGAATATAAATAAAATTGGAGTCTCTGTTTGTAATATTGAAATAACCGCTTTATAGTACATGCATATGAATATATTTAAGGTACATAGACAAAATAACATTTTTTACAATTTTCGTATGTCTGTTTGTTCCGGCTAATCTCTGAAATGGCTGGACCGATTTTGACGGGAATTTTACTGGCAGGTAGCTGATGTAATAAGGAGTAATTTTTAGGCTACTTTAAATTTAGAAAAAATCTTTTGGTTTAAAAAAAAATAAAAGTTAACGCGGATGAAGTCACGGGCGGCCGCTAGTTTTAAATAAATTTCAAATCGCATCGGGGTTTTCGCGGTGAAAAGTGAGTATGGTTATTACAAAATAGCAGTGCAAATTTCGATGAAATTTGATTTTACGCTCGGTTATTAAAAGATAGGTATTTGATTTGAATATTTTTGTCAACATGCCAACATTTAATGAGAATGAGACATGGAACCATATTTAATTATTGAATTAGATATTTTTTGTAAGATATATTATAAGATATTTCTACATAAATTAAATTGTGTTTAGTTTTTTTAAAAAGTTTATAGTACTGTATAATGTAAGAAGTTATGAATTTATACTTTTCACCTTGCCTCTTTTCAAAATAATGTTGTCCTTTAAATGACTTTATGTGTTAGGAAGGTGAAAACAGGTATGTCGACAGCTCATGGTCTATTAAAGTAAAACTTTTATTACCAGGCCACAATTTTATTCGTTCATCATTCAAAAAAAAATGTTATCTTAAAAAATTAAACCTTATCAACAAGCAACGGCAGCAAGCTCGCTTGTTAAGTAGCATGGTTCAGTGACAGAAAGCTCGTTTGTTAAGTAGCAGCCCCGGGTTCGATTCCCAGCCGAGAACGACCTTTCCACTTATAAGAAGCCGCAGTAACATTAACTACGATTAATTTTCCGAAAATTTAAGGTTAAATGCCTACGCTCCGAAAACAATTGAAGCGACGTAAAACAATAGGTTTGGTATCCTTTCGCTCAAAAAGTCCTTGTTTATTTTTTAATAATAATTTAATACAATAATATCATTTTTTTTTTCTAGTAAACTTTTCTTTAGATTTAAACATCTAGCAGTTAAATGCTTAAAAAATAAATAAAATCATAACAATAATATCAGTTGTTTTTTTCATTAAAATAACTGATTGTTCGTCTTCTACCTCGAAAGTGGAATGAGCGGTCATTATGTTGACTGCAAGGAGTAATAGTTATTTATCAACTGTTGTATAGTGAGAGGTATTCAAACACGAATGTTAGCTTGATAGTTGTATTTTTTTCTAGTTACATTTTCTTTAGACTTAAAAGCATCTAGCAGTTAAACTTTTAAAAATAAAAATATAATAAATGACTTGTTACTTTACATCTTTTATCTCGCTCCCTCCGTTTTGTTTATTATTTTTCTGTGGGATGCCATTTAAACGAAGGCCGAAAACTCGCAATGGATAGAGGGCCCAAGCGTACGACAAATGACTACGTGACCAAGACAACGCACGCATTCTATTATAGAATTTGGTGTCAGCGGTGTGCTGATTTGAGATTTTATATAGGTAGAATTTCGTATTATTTTAAAAAGTACTGGTCGTACTCAAGTTATCTCTGATAATTATAAGCATAGTAAGTTGTACGTGTTTTAAATGGGGATGCCGTTGGATCTCAATAATGCATGTTAAATTATTCAAATATCACTAGTATTAAATATTAATAGTTAACCATACTGTCTGCGAAGTATAATTACGAGAATAAATTTTATTGTTAGCATAGCTATACTACATAGTTACTCTACATATATTTATGTACAGCTTCCTTATGAATTAGTAACAAATCAACATTACTCAACCTTGTAACATCTTATTAGATTACATTCGTTTCCATTTGACCTTTTTCATTAGTATTTCCCTTTTTAGCGGTTTAATTGCATCTAACTAAAAACATACAGTTATATAAGCTTCCAACGTCAAGAGGCAGAAGAATGTAACTCCCGATTCTCAACCTTTTCCTTACAGCTTGTCTCAACCATAAGTCTCTACCGTTTGGATGTATGCCTCCTTCAAATCATGCCACCTGTGACGATTTTGTGCGACCTGGCGCCAATTTTTGTCCTACTGTTCTTTTAAGGTCGTCGTCCCAACGCATCTGAGGTCTTTTTGGATGATGTTTTTGACCCCATAATCACCGCTCAATTAGCCGCTTGCTCCACGAATCAGTCTATGACCCGTCCACTTCCATTCAGATTAGTTACGCGGTCGATAACAGAAAAGAGGAAGAGTTGGAAATATATGATGTGAACTTTAATTCAGAGAAGACCACATGATTAGGGCGTTCCTTTTCGTTTATTATCAGGGAAGATAAGATATCAGGTAAATATTACACGCTGACACTTGCTAAAGCTTTGAAGGTCATCGCGAAAAGAATAAGTTGAAAAGTAAGGAATGAAGGGATGAAGTCATCTAAGTATACAGTTTAAAGTTATAGTATAAATAATAATACAACGTTTAATGAACTGATAATATATGGATCAGTAAACTCAATGAAGGGCAGAGGTGCTTAGATAGATGATGAGATGGTCTAATTAGTCTATAATATATTAGTTTCTCTATTTAATATAGGTAATATAAAAAACTGTAGGTACGTACCATAATGTATTTCAGACAATTTTAACTGTTATTGACTAACTAATAAATAAAAATAATGAGCCCATTATTATATGAGGGATAGATTACCACTTTTAGGGATAGATCACAAATTCCAAATACACTACTTGTTTCTCTCTTAAACAAACTGTTTGCACCTACACAGTATCGTAAGTTTCACTCTAAAACTGGTTGACCACGACATCAAAAAAACAAACGCACTATCTTCGAACTTGACCTTATCGAGAGCATCCAAATTTATATTAAACACACTGTTATCTGAATAAAATTGTGTTAAGATCATATTTATTAAAGCTTACCTCAGTCACCTGTTGTGGAACGACGTAAACAAGACGCAGTTTTAATGTTTGTAAACAACTGCGCACGCGACGCGAAACACGTTTCGTCGCTTACTATAATATTAATTTAATTCTGTCAGCCACGCCCGTTTGTGCGCTCGCGCGGGACTCTATTGAACAACTGACACTTCCACCCGGTATCTCGAACTAATTATAACCTGAATGTTTAGTTAGCGCAGTAAATAGGCTGGGCTTGTAAGTTTATTTAGGTTCTGATAATGCGATTGATGCTTTCGAAGTAACAAACACCGACATCATCGTCAACATCGGATTGGTGGTTTTAAGAGATTTCGTTTATAATAGCCAATAGAATAGATATGCACTGTTTATCAAATAATAAGGATAATACAATCTTGGAATAAGTAAATATAATAATAGTTATTTGCATGTCAATTTTATCAGTTTCCCAGTTTAATTTTATAGTGCACCAAATGTGATTGATGGGGTTACTCAGTAATAATCATCATCAATAAGCTAAAACACAAGGTCCTAAATGAGAAAGAACATACATTTAAATAATTAAACCAGTAACCTCAATTAATTACAATGTAAGTAAGGATACATTTTTAAAATAGGTACATTTTTTTAAGTCTTTCCAAGTAAATAAGTAAGTATTAAGTCTCTGTAACAATTAAGGACATATTACTTTCTCTTAAATGGAAAATACTCACTTTTATTGAAAATAAACGTTGTTCATCATGAAAAAGGGTAAATCAAAGTGGGTGGGTTTCTGAAACAGTCAGCCGCTCTAACATTCTCTCTATCTACACTGTTTATAACAATTTGCCAACCTTTTTATTGAATCCTTATTCAAACAGAATTATTGGCTTGGTAGGGTATCGCTGGTTTTCTACTCAAATTCCAAATTTAATAAATGCCAGAGTGTGCCTGTCTACCTGTTACCTCTTCACTCTTAAACCGCTGTACCAAATAAGATATGTGTATATATATATATATATATATATATATACACCAAATTTTATATGTATATATATATATATAATGTATATATATATATATATTAGACCTGTCCTTAATCAGGGCAAAATCGAATTTTAATGTTCTTACCCCCCAAATTGGGTCGAAATAATTAAAGAAAAAGGTCAGAATTTTTTAAAATTTTTCCCTCCATATTTACCCACCGCTAGGGAACCTTACTTTTTGCCATAAGAAAAGCATTGATATTTCGTGACTTTTAATCTTTTTTTTAGCGTTACCCTAATATTCAACTAAAAAATCGTACATTCTCAGAAAATGTTCACAATAATGTAACCTTTTTGTCGGATTTTTTGGAATTCGATCCAAGCATTTTTGGGTCAGATCAATCACATCTCTAATCTCTGTAGGTTGCGAAAAACGCGGGAAAAAGTCGAAAAACTATATCGACGCGGATTAACACCAACGCCCGCAAACAAAGGGTCTTGCTACCGCTGGACTCCGAGCTCCGAGAGTATCGACTTGAGGCCCTACAATCGCAGTCTCCCATATTTCGTCGATTTGGGTTAGGTGCACAATGCGTTTACGAGAAAACATTCGTTTGATTGGTTGTGTGGATTCCCAAATTTTCGGGAACAAACTACCATCAACTCGTCAAGTTTTAAAAGTTTTGTTTTTCAACACGCGAGTGTCAGGTTTTGATATAAAAACAAGTGCATCACTAGCCGTGCGTGAAACTATGATTTTTTGGACAAAAGCAAGATTAAAAACGAAGCAAGATTATAACTGCGTAACGAAACTGATGGATTTACATCGACAATGGCATCTATTGGGAAAAAATATCAATGCCCCAAGCAATAAAAAGAGGGAAGAAGAATTCTGCGGTAAACTGGATGACCTTTTTGACATCGCCCATCAAGATGCGCTTGTAGGTCTCGACGATGTAAGAACGGAATTTCTGCAAAATCAAAGGAAGCCTGGTCGTATCGGTTTCATCTGGGATATCCAAAGCACATATGATTTGATGGAGGCAGCAGAATTGCGAAAAACAACCGATGCGTTACAGAGGTTGGAAAGAATGGAACAAGAAAGAGCATTATTTGGTAAGTTTTCTCCAAATATCTTGACCAAACCATTGTTTTATGACCCTGAAGATTTTTGCACCTGCAAATTTCGACCTTTTGCAACCTCTATTTTCTGACTTTAGCATTTTCGGAAAAATATCAGAATATAATTTCGTTCTTGGACCAATTACCGAGTTGTGCGTTTTTTTTTAATTTTTTGAACTCCAATTTCGTGTACACTAGTGGCTCTTTTTGCCATTTAGAGATTTGATTGCTATACATTTGCAGTAAGGGGCACTATTGAAAAATTTTGTAATACTTTTTGATTTCTCTTTCACATTCTCTATGGTGCTTATTTTTGGATTCTCGATGAATTTTTTTTTCGAATCAATTCTTCATCGGTATCTGCAAATTTCGTCCTTTTGTGTGAGCCATATTCTGTAAACCGTGGCGTCATTTTTTTTCATTCAGGGTACTTTTTCTTTTATCCTCAATCAGCAAAGATATGTAAGAACGATAAAAAATTCTTCCAGATGAGATCGTCGAATTGGCATCGAGTGATGGTGGCGACTTTTCACAAACGTTGTCACAAAAATCCATGGGCACGATTTCAAATTATTCCACAACAGACCATGCTGCAGATGATGCTGGACCATCAAATCCGAAAAAATCTCGAGGCACCGTAGATGTGGTAAATGACAAACTCGTCGCCGTTCTTGATAGATTTAAAGTCTCCGATACATCGGCCGTTCATTTAATTGCTTCTGTAGCTCAGTCTCTTGGATTCGATTTAAATGCGTTAATTGTTAATCGGAGCTCGATAAAGAGAAAGCGTGAAAAATTGCGTGAAATGCGGTCCATAAAAATAAAAAGTATGTTCCAAAATACTGATTTGCGAGCCGCTGTTGTACATTGGGACGGAAAACTTTTGCCTGATTACTTTAGTGGTAAGAAGCTTGAGAGACTTCCCGTTTTGATAACAAACAGTGATTCTGAGAAGCTGTTAGGTGTCCCAAAACTCGAAAACGGGAGAGGCGTTACGCAAGCAAACGCCATTCATGACGTTCTCGATGAGTGGGGTGCTTTGAGCTCGATAAAAGCTCTTTGTTGTGATACAACGGCTTCGAACATGGGTGTCATGAATGGCGCGGCGGTTTTATTAGAACAAATGTTAGAGAAATCTATTTTATACCTGCCATGTCGACACCATATTTTTGAGATAGTTTTGAAAAGCGCTTTCAATGCGAAATTAAAGTCCCCCTCGACTGGACCAGATGAACCTATTTTCAAACGTTTCAAAGATTCCTGGTCAAAAATCGATTCAACAGCGCTTCGCATTGGCATTGATGATAAAAAAGTAAAGAGCATTGTAACTGTTGAGAATATCACGAGAATCAATTCGTTTGTTGAACGGGCATTAGAAACGGACCAACCTCGAGCGGATTACAAGCTTTTGATTTTGACACAATTATTTATTGGAACCGTTCCATCACAAGGAGTTGCAATACGTTCACCGGGTGCAATGCATCATGCACGTTTCATGTCCAAAGCTATTTATTCTTTGAAAATATTTTTGTTCCGAGACAGTTTCGAAATGACAAAAACTGAATATCGGGCGATCCGCGATGTATCGGTTTTTATCGTTACGATTTATCTGGAAGCATGGTTCACTGCTCCAGTCGCAGGAGCAGCTCCAAATCATGATCTTCAATTTTTGAAAAAACTCTATAATTATAAGAGTGTTGACAGAGAGATAGCTAATGCAGCTATGCAAAAATTTGTAAATCACCTCTGGTTTTTGAGCCCTGAAACGGTCGCCTTATCATTTTTTGATGAGAATTTACCATTGGACGTGAAACGTTGCATGGTGTCCGAGTTGGGCCCGGGCGACGTGATCGAAGAAATTGATCAAAATTGCCCGAAGAAAATTGTAATCAAAGTAAAAGACATTGGCAATTACTGCGACAAAGAGATCGATCATTTTGTAACATCACAAACCCGGAATTTTTTTCTCCGATTTGAAATTGATCAATCGTTTCTAAAAATTGACCCATCTCTTTGGTCTGGAACTGCTAGTTTTCGAGAAGGTTCGGAAATTGTCAAAAAATTAAAAGTTGTGAATGATGCGGCCGAAAGGGCTGTTGGTCTATTGACGGATTTTAATAATATTCTCACGCATAATGAAAACCAGAAACAATACATTTTCCAAGTCATTGAGGAACATAGGAGAAAGTTCCCTGATTCGAAGAAGGTAACGGTCATGCAAAATTTATGAACAAAGCAATCGGTTTAAGGATGTATCATGATATTCTCTGCTATATAATTTAGAAATACGTGACAGGGACAATATCCTTAATACAATATGTGACGACTTGACCGATTTTAATTTGTATATTTGGACCTCTGAAAGATACTTTTCGACTATTTTCAGCGATTTTCGATAATACATAATTTTCAGCAAAAAGTTTCTTCTCTTTTTTTAACCTCTGCCATTTTATTCCTCTAATTTTTAACGCTCAAAACGACGTTCTTCGACTTTTTTTTTCTTTTTCCGCGTTCTTAGCAACATACAGAGAATAAAGACGTGATTGATCTGACCCAAAAATGCTTGGATCGAATTCCAAAAAAATCGACAAAAAGGTTACATTACTGTAAACATTTTCTGAGAATTTACGATTTTTTAGCTGATAATTAGAGTAACACTAAAAAAAAGATTAAAAGTCACGAAAAATCAATGCTTTTCTTATGGGAAAAAGTAAGGCTTCCTAGCGGTGGGTAAATATGGAGGGAAAATTTTTAAAAAATTCTGACCTTTTTCTTTAATTATTTCCACCCAATTTGGGGGGTAAGACCATTAAAATTCGATTTTGCCCTGCTTAAGGACAGGTCTAATATATATATATATATATATATATACATTAGTCCGTAGAAGGAGAAAGGATAGTTTTTTATTTCAGAAATCATCCTTCAGGGAGGTGTAAAGGGAGCAAGAGAGGTGGAAATTCGTATGAGAAATCACTGAAACACGCATACGAAGTCGCAGGCACCCACTAGTTTGTTATAATTATATTAAACAACAATTAACTTTAACCGTCTAAAGACTTCAAATAACTTATACA